TGCTGCAATTTACCTTGATAGAAACAAGAAAAGAGCGAGAAAGAAATTGTTCAATAGACCGTTCAGTTTACAGAAAAGAAAATGTTTGGTGAGCACCTCACGAACATTTTATTATGTGTGTATCCCTATGTGTTATTTCATTTTCTGTTTGCAGACGACTCGTGAGACTTTTTTCACGGTTTAAATTAATTTTATCTCAACCTTCCAGCCAAGGAATGGCAAATATTGTTCTTCTGTAGTTTCCTTTTACCATCAATTTGCTAAAATTTCAATTTTTTAATTTATTTTCTTTAAAAACGTTTCATTTTTATTTTTAAATTTATCTCTTGCTTTATTTAAATTTGATTTTGCGCAGAGGTGAAAGATGACATTGTGAAGTGAAAAATGTAATAAACAATTCACAATTTATGTATATATTCATCAGGCAAATACGCTCACTATTTTACTTTCATTCATTCATTAATCTCCTGTTTACACACATACAATGACCGTTTATTGATTTATAGCTGTAGAAAGAAAAGATTGATGGTTAAACGGGTGACCATAATCTATCAACGTTCGCTTAATTATTGATTATAATTCATTCAGAAGTCCATTTCATGGTCTATTTAGTATCAATAATGTATTCAATTTACAATGCGTTTGTGGGTCTTTTAAGCCTTAATTAACTAAAAGGGTGTTTGAACAGTCAATTACTTATGAACGACATAGTCTCAAAGTTTGAACAAACTGTGGGCAAGGCAAAGAGGTTTTTGCTCCTTATCAAATAGCATTCACCCTTACAATTATCATCAGTTTTTGAGTTCATGAAAAAAATAACAATCAATTTACTCGGAATTGTCAAGTTAAAATGATGTTTAATCGCTATAATAAAATTTAATACTTTGTTCTTAATTATCGTACCAATTCGAAGCAAATTACCTACCAAATACCCTCTACTTAATCCTCAGCTCGTATCTAACAAAGCGGTTCTTTCGGGTTCGACAAGAATCAGATTACTCCGAATGCTCTCTCTTAGGCTACCATCTAGACTCACGCTTAATCAGCACATACGTCTGAAATGGCAAGACTTAAACGGACCCTACGGTTTACTGTCCAAATTTATTGGACTGCAATCCAAGGTATCGACGAAAAACAAACTAACTATTTACAAAACGCTACTACAACCGATTTGGACATGCAGGAACTCTGGGACACCAATAATCCTTTCAGTCTAAAGTTCTCAGATAAATGATTGGTCCCTATCATGTGTACAATGACAGTGTTACACCGAAAATTATTTCGGATCAAAGTAAGGTCCGGGACAAAAAGATAGCCCACCCAATATTTTTTCTCTTAATCAATTTTAACCATTGATATACTTTTTTTTATTGATATAATTTTTTTATTTATTTTGAACCGATTTTCTCCATTAGAAACTGAAAAAAAATAAATACTTTGTAAGAATTAATGAATAATACTTGATTTAGGGTGAGACAAAAAGATAGCACACTTGTTGTTTATTTACAAACAAAACCAAATCCCTCTGAGTAAACAAGGCTAATTCAGTTGTTTCTGCATTCATATATATTAGTGCGATGGGACGAGCATTAACACCAGCTGAAAAAAATATCATTCAGCGAATGAAAAATCGAGGATTTTGTATTTCCAGTATTTCAAAAAATACCGGTAGGAGTAGGAAAGTAATTTTAAATTTTTTGAAGTCTCCAGAAATCTATGGGACTAAGAAATCTTCTGGAAGACCACCGGCCTTGACAACACGGCAAAAACGGGCAATTTTAAGGGTTGCATCCAACTCAACTTTAACGGCCCGTCAAATTGCTGCGAGAGCTGGTGTAGTGAAGAATGTGAAAAACGTCCAAAGGATCATTCTTGCAGCTCCTCACATCAAAAGAATGGAAATGAAAGGCATTCCACCTCTAAACATATAAAGAAAGAAGAAAGGAGGCCGTGAACATGTGCAATGGAAAGACGAATGGAAGGATGTCCTGTTCACTGATTTAAAAAAATTCAATCTCGACGGTCCCGATGGCTGGGCTCACTATTACCATGACCTACGGAAAGAAGAGAAAGTGTTTTCCAAGACGCAAATGGGAGGAGGCAGCGTCATGATATGGGGTGGTATTGGCTATGATCACAAAACTGATATTGTGTTTATTTCTGGTCGAATAAACAGCCAACAATATGTTAATTTTGTAATGTAACAATATGTTTAAAAACCAATTTAAAAAATATTTTGAACTTGTTCCTAAATATAACGTAATTTTTCAGCAAGATAATGCTCCAGTTCACACGGCAAAAGTAGCAAAAGAATTTTTTAGAAAAGAAAAGATCAGAATTATAGATTAGCGGACTAGGTCCCCGGATTTTAATATCATCGAAAATGTATCGGGGCATCTTGCTAGGAGTGTTTACAGCGGTAGCCGACAATTTCAGGGCGTTGAAAAATTGAAAAAAACAATTCAGGAGGAGTGGGCCAAATTTCTACAAGAGATGATTCGTCGTCATTTCGACTCGCTTTTAAATCGTATGATTGCTGCATTAGAAAAAGGTGATGCATATACAGGATATTAAATTTAATTTGCGTTATTTTAATTGTGTTTTAATAAAGAATTTTATTATTATTGTTCACTGTACTATCATTTTGTCACACCCCAAATCATGTATTATTTATTAATTCTTACAAATTATTTTTTTCCAATTCCTAACGGAGAAAATCGGTTCAAAATACACTACATATTAATAAAAAAAATTATATCAATGGTTAAAATTGATTAAGAGAAAAAATATTGGGTGGGCTATCTTTTTGTCCCGGACCTTATATTCTTGTTTATTAATAAATTTGGTAAAAATAAATAAATATATGAGAGGAAAGTAGTATAATTTATTCTATAGAAAAAAGGACTTACTTTATTCCATGGCTTGGGTCAGGATAAAGCCTGACTCACACGGCGGGTCCTAATCAGGAACCTTACCTTCTTTTTGTCACATTCGAGTTCCGTCCGCTTAAATGTTAATTTTTATATTTATGAGTTACTTGGTCTCCACAGTAATCAAGCCAAACCAAAAGGTAGATTAATGGGGAGGAATATAAAAAAATAAAAAATGAGTATCCAACTTAACAATGGGAGGATTTATTATTTCTAAACAGAGTAAAATTAAAATAGGTAAGGCTTTCCTTAATCAGCTATTAAAATAAACCATAAACTAGATCTCCACTAACTTAAAAAAAATTAACCAAAACTTAATAATTTAATTTTTATTTAGAAATCGTGAGATGCGGTCTGGTGTGATGTATCGATCGATATCAATAGGTTTCAGAAAAACATTTTCTTTATCGTGCCAACGTTTCGATCTTTATTGAGATCATCTTCAGTGCTCAAAGAGTTTGTCTTCTGTGTAATTGTGCCATTCTTGCGTGTCGTGTCGAGAGTGCAGATTTAATAATTTAAATTAACAGTGTAATTCGTTAAAATAAAACCAAACAAAAATTCCTTCTGCATGCAGTCTTTTCCGTAAACCAATAATTTTGCTTGGGAATCGTTGTTCCAGCAACAACCATCCGCCGAGTCCTCCAGGGTTCAGTCCTGCCACAAACCGCTCCAAAAAAGAAAATCTCCGGAGAAGTGAGGGGCCGCCTCTATATCCTTTCGGAAAATTACAAACGGATTCTCACAGTCCTCTCTCGTCGCCGTGGTCTGGTGAGGATGGCGCCTGGTAGAAATTCCAAAAACGGAAATCGACAAGAAGAAAAATCCTGACGAGCCGTTTTCCGGAGAATCTCTCTCAGTCGCCAACTCGTAGGTGTTTACCGCAATGTTCTCAGGCGACCTATTCTCGGTCCAAACGATCGCGTTATCGCTTAATCCCCGGCCTTAATCCATAACACTCATTGTTGATTTTCACTAATTTCCTACGTACACTGATTTTAATTAATAAAAATGTATCCATCTAATAACTAGTTATATACCTCCTTATAAGAAAAGGAAGCTGATACAGGAGAGAAAATAAAATTTGATTTTGGAGCAAAAAAAACCACTTTCCTATCTTACAATAATTACATTATAAAAACCCAATTTTTTTGTCACAACAAGACTCAACAACGAGCTTAAAATTACACGTATCGAAAGCATAATTCCTCAAAAATTTACCAAGCTCCACAATAATCTTTCGCATCACCCCAATAATCACCCAAGCTTTTTCCAACCCTTCCGTAGAATCCTGTAAGGCGACTGAAGAGGTAATGGCTTCGCGACCTCCTTCTTGAGGAGTAAGCAGTGAAGTTTGTTCTGAGAAGTGAAGTGGGAGAATAATATTGATTATCTGCTCCCCAGGTTTACAGCATATGAAGATGGAGAGGTTGCGGATAGGAGTGACAGGATCAAAGTTTGTGTCGGAATCATTGACGTATGTGAAGTTTAAAGTGTCGAAATGTAATGCGAGAATGGCCGTAAAGATAGAGTAAAATAAGGGACCAAGTGTGTTTCCCTGCGGGACGGCGGCTAAAATGGGAAAAATAGATGCGGAAGCCTTGCTAGATTTATATTTGTTCTAATTTCGTTAGTAATCTAAAATGTTTTGAAATGCCAGACTTAATCCGCTAGCGTCAAAGTAATATTGTAATAATGAAAGACACTACAAAAACTAAAAACCGTATCAAAGTTTTTATGTCTTAGGTGAAAGGCCGAATGTTGCCTTTTGTGTTAGCCTATTTAGTACGTTTTGGTAAAATTAAAAGTTTACGTTTCCTTGTGTATTCAGTGCAATATATATATATATTGATATTCGATCTCAAATGTACTCGAAGGCAGACTCAACCCTAACATTGACAAGGTTGGCTCACAGTACTTGGCACTGTTGATACGGAATCGATCATCAAAGAAATTTTGGATCGTCTGTAAAATACTTAAATATATCAATATGTAGACAATTTTCCTAGAAAATTAATTTAGAACGTGCGTAAAATAAATTTGTTATAAAATTGAATGATTTAATTGCAGACAAGCACAAGTGCCGGGAGGAGTGGCCGACAGCCAACAGTGAAAGGATCTATAATCTTTTCCTAGACACGATCCTGCTGCTCATACCTCTTCTCATCATGTCACTCGCCTATTCGCTCATAGTTTCAAAGCTCTGGAGGGGCTTGCAGAGAGAAATCCAACACACCTCGTCCTGTCTCAAAAAAAGTAAGTCCGATTCATGTATTTTCGGCGTGATGCTCGGAATTAATTAATTTCGGTGTTATTCACTTCTGGAATGACGACGAGGGGATTCAGAAGTATATTAAAGCCTTCAGAATTTGCGACGCTCGTTATAAAGTGTTTCATTTCCAATAAAGGATCTCTTTCTTCGATACCTTTGAAATTTAATTTTGAAATGACGACTCCTGATGTAATTGTTAAACCGTTCAGAATTTAATCACAATCAGTTTAATTTAAACTTTTACTTAGTTGAAAGTAAGATTTGTTTAAACATGAAGGTTAAAACGTCTATTTGTTTAATCAAACACCAATCGACGACTACAAAGCGAATACTTAAATCTTAAATCTTTTCATCCATTAAAATTCTTGTGTGGGATTTGTAATTTATAAATTATTTAGGTTTGGCCATTAAATTCATTATTTATTACATCCCATGTTTTCATTAAGCATTAAACATTGACTCTCTAAAAAATAAATATTTCTTTTAGGCCGTTTTATTTAGGACCATGTAAACTAATTAATTTAAATATTATATTACATATGAACAAAATTGTGTTATTTTTTCACTGTGTCTATCCATTACAGTGAATTAAAACTTGTATATTGAAAATTATGCTATGTTTGTATAAAAACGCTTTTCTTTATTAATAAAAACTGCGTAGTCTTATGTTTTACAATATTAATTTACATAAAAATATATAATTTTCACAATTAAAACACCTTTGAGCGTTTTTATTTTTTACTCATTATATCTAATATTAGAGAGAGTGAGAGAGAGAGATTTTAAATATAACGAATAAAAAATAAAAACGCTCAAGGATGTTTTAGTTGTGAAAATTATATATTTTTAAGTAAATTCATATTGTAAAACATAAGACATGTAAAACAAACAAAAAATTAACTGTAAAAAATGTACACAAAAACCTACGAAGAATTTGAAAGAACTAACAATCAGTAGTTTTATGATAGTTCAATTTTTAACTTAGTTAACTTCTAAACTGATATTTTTGTCTAGTTATATAATACAGTTCATTATGCACATATATGATAAAACCGTTCTTGTGATCATTGGTTTTTTAAGTTTGCTCATAGCCTGTACATAATGACATCAGGAGCAATACTCAGAAACCCACCTCACACAAAACCTCCACGAACTCTCACCAACAATAGAAAAGACGGAAACTACCCCTCATACGCATTGAAAATACAAAAGTGAACATAATTGCTAACTATTACAATTAATTAAGGTTTTTAGTTGAAATAAAAAAGTCAATGGCACGAGCGGGATTCGAACCCACGATCTTCGGCTTGATACGCCGCTGCTCTACCACTTGAGCTATCGTGACCTCGATCCACTCGGACACCAACTTCCCATCTCAACCCCACCTTTTGAATTTTCGTGGGTTCGAATCCCGCTCGTGCCAATGACTTTTTTATCTCAACTAAAAACCTTAATTAATTGTAATATATTAATTGGTCAAGCGGACCACGGAATTAGTGAATTTAATAATTGCTAACTTAGAAATATACAAACACATCTCGAAAGATTCATTATATAAACAAAAACTCACTTAGTTTAACCTAATCTGGTCCAAACTGAATAGAGATATTTGTAATTTATAATTATTCTATTAATTTTAATTATGTTCACCGATATGTCTTGTTAGTTGGATAAAAGAAAATAGAAAATACAGACCAAAAACAAACAAATGTTAATCCTCACTTTTAATAAAGGAATAACTTAAGAATAGTGAACGTAAAAATAACTCATTTTACACAAACACCTTTTCTCGTCTTTTCTCCATTTAAATCCAGTTGTTTAATTATGGAAAGACAACATTTTGAATCAGAAGGTCGCAACGTTATTAAGAGAATGAGTCATCGAGGCCACCGGCAAATCTCCCAGAGGCAGTTGGCAAATCTCCGAGCATGTGTCCCGAGCTTTAGACCGATTCCGAGAAACTAGAAGTGCCAATGGGAGGCCTGGTAGTGGATCTCAGCGCATTACGGCGCTAAAAGAGGATCAATGTTCTGGATGACAATGCAACATCTCAGAGAGGCAGAGTTGTTCATCGATGTTTAGAAAACCTGGGAATTTCCCATCAGCCCCTTCCCTTACTGTGTCATTGTGCACTTGTGTGATTCGTTCCAGAGAAGGCTTTTCGACCACCATCCCAAACCAGTCGGCCTGCAACAAATGAGTGCAACGTTGCAACATCTGTGGAGCGAAATTTCTTTTGAAATTAGTGACAACCTTATTAACAGTATGCCTAACAGGTGCACAGAGGTTTTAGCTAACTGAGGACTTTATATACGGTATTAACGTGAAAAAAATTATTGAGTCCAATAAAGAAAATTATGAAATTAAAAACTTTTATTTTGTTATTTTTCAAAATCGCTGTTTACTTCGGTAAAAAAACATAATAATTTATAATAAATTTTAATGCAATTTATAAAAAAAAAAAAATAAAGTAAAAATACTAGGAAAAGTAAATACTACAAAATTGCCAATACCCCTATACATTTTTGAGCTGTATCTATACAATTTTTTACGTAATTTATTTTATTTATTGCTATCTTTACAAAACATTTATTGAGTAAATAGTATAGTTATAAACAAATCTTACAGAGGATTTGTCCGACCAAGAGGCAGTGGGGAAAGAAACCAACCAGAACTCTCCTATTTAATTGTGTAAGAAGAAATGAGCGATAATCGCTAGTTGCCCCAATTAATAATACATTTTAAATTTCAAATTGAAAAACTTAGAACGTGTTTTAAATTTATTTACTTTGAAACATGCCAGAGAAAATTACAGCGTCTTATAGGCGTTAAGACTCGTTGGACGAAGATTTGAATCCGGAGATTAAGACGCCTAAAGAAGACGAGTGGAAGAAAAACACTTGGTTTGTATATGGCTATAAGAGTAAGCTGGAGTTCCTAAAATTGTTAACTTGAGACGTCAACCGACCAGGACAACACGAGTACATACCTTTCATTTTGACGTATACAGACTAAATAAAAAAAATGCACCAACTATCCTGAAAATGGTGAAAGGGCGATACGCATAGCCAGACAAAATCAGCGAGGATAGGCTCCCATTAGATCGGATACAACAATGCTAAATATATATAAATGACCCCGCATTCCTTATGAAGGAATTCACACATGACGTAGTAGTATATATATATATATATATATATATATTGCAAATTTGTTGATTATTGTTATTTTCACCAGGTAGCACTATCCCAGAGTTAGTTGGTATTTTTTGTCATTATTGATTTCATTGTAAAAGTCTTAGTAGTTGTTAAAATCGTATTATGAGTTTCTTTCTAGGTCTTGCGTTCGGAAGTTCTGTATCAACCGAACAGACTGTAATGCACAGTCAGCAGTTGGTATTCAGAATAGGTCGAAGAAAAGCTCCTTTCAATTGATCTCTGAATATTCGTTTTCATGCCTCCCTCTGAAACATCAAACCATGATAAATACATAATCAATAATAATTAAGAAGCGTTTTGAAGATTACTAGATGGCCGACCACATTTAGAAACGTAGCTAACCTCTTTCTTCTTTAAAATGAGAAAAATATTATGAATAAATCGGAAGACTTGCTGAATTATGCGTGGTATGATGGAGACTACAGAAGGAATATGTGAATCTAGAAAAGGTATTAAACGTTATAATATATTAAATATACTATATTAAACGTTGCACCTGAATTACTTGGAAAGACTGAACTGGCTTGGTCCTGAGTCGCTTAGCTCCCGCCGTATTTTTGCCGATCTCATTTGGGGTTGGAAATTGTGGAATGGGGCCATAGATATCCTGAACTTACATTTGTCGCTATGTGTTCCTCAGCGACCACTTAGGAACCATAATTTGTTCTTTGTTCCATACTACAAAACAGAATATGGACTAAATTCACCCCTAACGAGGATAATGAGATTGCTGAATTATTATTCTAATGAAATATTGTAGATATATTTCGCGATTCCTTGAATTCAGTTAAAGTTAAAGTAAAATTCACTAATTTCGTGGTCCGCTTGACCAATTAATACTTTACAATTAATTAAGGTTTTTAATAGAGATGAAAAAAGGCTAATGGCACGAGAGGGATTCGAACACACGACCTTCGGCTAGATACGCCGCTGTTCTACCACCTGAGCTATCGTGACCTCGATGCACTCGGACATCAACTCCCGATCTCAACCCCACCTTATGAGTTTTCCCTCCTTTGGCCATTTTTTTTTATCTAGCCGAAGGTCGTGGGTTCGAATCCCACTCGTGCCATTAGCTTTTTTTCATCTCATTTAAAAACCTTAATTAATAGTTAAACTAAAATGTTTACTTGCCTTGAATCATTAAGCCTTGTGTTTTTGTTATTATTGCTTAATTGTTCATTTGTTCTTTTTGTTATTGTGTGCCTTCTTTTTTTACTACTCCTCTTGTAGATTCTTTCTGTTGGAGTTATAATAAATACATAAATAAAAAGAGACTTTTGAGGAGTTTGGATATCACAAGAATAAAGCTCATTCTCTCTGCCACTTTTATTTTAAACAAAGCAACATATCAAAAAATTTAAATGGTAATTTCCCGTTAAAGAGTCAATTTTTGTTTTATGAAAAGATTTTATACCGTAGGTATACAGGGTAATCAACTTTTGTATCTTACATATAATCCTACTTTTTTTGTTCATATTCTCAGTACATAGTTATTTATAATAAAAATGAATTTTACTTCATCGAAATCGATCAACGATTTCCCAATGTAATTTTTTTTTAATAATAGCTCTAGGTTCGGTATTTTTGGTTTTTAGGAACAGGTCCCGGGTTCGAATCCAGCGGGCTTGCGTTCGATCCCGACATTCTTACAAAATGGGCTTTTTTCCAAGACACCCTCCCGAGTATTGATAAGACCTCTGTTGTTGCAAACCCTCGTTTAAGAAAATAAAATTGAGGAGTGTTCAGTGTTCTAGATGTTTATT